AGCAGATTTCGTATTCCATTTGAATTTTCTGTACACAACCATGTAGAAATAAGATTAAAATCAAATTCTCATCTACAGATAATATCTAAGAGTTACTTGAAAGACGTTTTTCAGTTATCGTGCTGAGACCTACCCTATACTGGAAAGAGAATTACACTTTAAAGAAGCAGGTTGTTTCCTTGTCTCTCAAAAACAACCAACTGTTACTGCTACTTTTAAAAACCCTGATCGAAATGCAGTAGCACAAGACAAAGCACAAGACCGCACTTCAACCGTTTCTCGTTCCAACATGTAACAAGGGCACACTCCATAAGTACATAACTGATTTAAAATGTATATGAAGAAGCTATCTGAACTCATTGCCTCGTAGCACAGAACCATATGTCCCCAAATAATTGCTAAAAAAAATTAAGATTGGTGAAATGTCCCACTTTATAGGGTATAGAGAGAAAGACGGTTATTGCTGTTAGACCAGAACTGCAGCCATGATCAAAAAAAGTTGCTCAATCCCACTCCCCATCATGCACACATGCCCCCATTCCACACTGTTTTTTACTCAACAAATCTTGTATCAGATGCAGAATTCTTAGCATCAATACATACACAATTTCACAAAACGGAATCCTCATCATATCCATGACACCTAGAGGGAGCTAAATGATGTCTGTTGACCTAATTCTTTTAAAAGTCTTTCTACATTTTAATAGAGAACCTGGATGCTACTTCTATGGAGCAATTTCAGAGCACTCTGCACTGTTACCAGAATAGATGGTTGCATCTTCTCACTTCCCCATCCACAAGTTTATTTGCATAATTCAATTCCCGCGTCAGAGCATACAGGTGGTTAGCTCTTATTACAACCATCTCTGCAGGTGGAATTTACAAAGATCTCCTCTTGTGACCAGGGGACAAAAGTTTATTGCCCCAGGCACCATAGGCGGGGAATGCAAACAACCTAATAACTACCAAAATAAGCATAAAATAAGGTGTGGCAGGAGGTACAGATCATGAAAAGGAAGGAGGAAATACAAGCAAGCCTTACGGTCTGTTGAGATAAGGAGAAGGTCAATGCATAACATTCTTTCTCTACATCACGCAACAGAAATTCAGATATGACACTGTGAGTACACACTGCAAGGAATCACAACCCGTAAGAGCCTATTCAAGTAACACTTTTGGGATATAATTGCCACTATGTCTGGGGAATTCTGGGAACCATTGTATACCAACCAAATGAAGAGACTCACACAGGTACAAACAGACATCATTGTATTAAAAATTATTTTTACAAGCTCTGCAGTGAATTCAGATTCCCTAAAAGGCTATGTACGAAGGATGAGTGTTTGCAATTACAATTGCATCCCTACAAATTGTTCACACTAGGGATGAACACTATTTGCCTGAATGCTAAAACACTAACGGAACCTGGGCTATTTGTGTGTTGTTGGGTTACCATGGGGTACAGTGAAACGCCCAGGGTACCCACTGGGCAGAAAAACAGCTTGCTAAGGCTACTTAGGCTGGCTCTATTCATGGATGATACAGGGGGAAATGAACTTCCAACCTCTGGCTCTGCAGCCAGATACCTAAACTACTGAGATCCAAATACCTAAACTACTGAGTTATCCAAGACTTACTTGGTTAGTCTTGGTTAGTTTTCATGTACTTTACCCTAGTTTTTCAGATGTTGGTCTGAAAAACTTGGCTGAAGATCAACAAAGTTTACACCAAATAAAATGTGACACGTCTTTTCAGGTGCCACTAGATCCTTCACTCTTTCCGCTGCAACAGATGAACATGGTTAGCTACCCATCCACCCACATGCTTTGTACTTGAAAAATATTTTGTGCTTCTGAGTTTAGTTATTTATACACATAGACTGATCTACATGAAATTCAGTCTGTGACAGATACTTGATACGGACCCAGCTCTATAAAGATGTGTAGGTTGTAGGTTATCCTTTGTTCATGCACTTGAATGCATCCAGTGAAGTAGTACTGTAAATATGTTCATTTAAAAATTCTCTGTCATTTATCCTACATCAGAAAAACATGATTCATTTTCTTGATCTTTGCAAGACAACATTTAAGCAACACAGGAAAGTGAACAGTGAATAATCCAGCTGTATATCATTATGCTTGAACTATCACGGTGTGTCCATATGCAGTGCACCTGCTGCAAAGCTGTGTCATGTCTGACTTAGTACTTTGTGGGAAATACCACGTTTATTCGATGCCATCTACATGTTAATATTAATATGTTAATATTAATATGAACTACTGACGATTTATCATGTTGAAGTGTTTTGCATTATAGTTTACATGTCAATGCTGGTATCTTATCTATCTGTCTGTCTGTCTCTCCGTCCGTCCGTCCCCCGACCTGAATTCCAGACCAGTCCTCATTTTGTCAAATACACACATTTGTTTCAGTTATTTCCCTTCATACCATTCCTTAATTGGCCCACCAATGATAAATAGGAGAAAAAGCAAATCTCCCTATTTATCATCATATCGAAGCAATTTCATTACCAAAAGCCAAGGAAATCTTTAAATTGTCAGCTACAGAAGACATCCTACTTTCCTCAACAGTCTTAAAAAGGATGGAACACATTTTTTTCTTATTGTTTAACAGCTGGTAGCTGTATTACTACAAAACTTACTGACTTCTTATATTTTATAGGTCCACACATCCATGAAAGGATGTTCTCCTCGAAATAACTCCTCCCAGGCACAAAGCTTTCAATGATGCTTTGTCATCATACTGTATTTCAAATATTTATACTAGATCCTTCTGTTATCAGATTAACATTATTAATTATAATTACAACTAAAGCATTATTAGAAGCAAAGCACACACCCAACATTATGATCCAAACAAACATCAATATATTTCTCTTTCTGAAATCTATGGGTGCACAAATAATAAAAACACACTTACATTAATTTACTCAGCTCTGTTGATAGACTAATAAGATCATTAGACTGCATCCCATGTGTTAGAGCTCTTTAACTTCACCTTTTCAAGGTTCAGTTCTAGAAAGTGACTTTACATCCATCTTCTCTGAAAAGGATTTTATGCCGTAAGAAAGCTGCCCTGGCTTGCTGCTCCCATGAAGTATGGCCCATTTTGTTCCAGTTGATCCTCAAAACAGCACTGCTTCAATGAGCTGAAGTACTTTTCCACATGAGAAACCTTCCGTTTCTCCTCCCCTCACAAACTACTCACTAAACAACCCCCATGGCATGTCTTCCAGTCACAAACTGTCCAGCATTCCTGATTGTGCATCAGCAACCGAATAAGGCACTCATATAAAATGTACAGAAGATACCAACGTGAAAGGCACAGAGTCATCTGAAGAGAGCAACAATAACCATAAGGCTTCCTCTAGAAGCAGGCAAGCACATTATGAAATCTTTCTCTACAACGATTGCACAACAAGGACAAGGTCTGAAACGGTTTCTGTTTCAGTCAGCATAAGATGTTGGGCTGAAAGCCTGCGAGAAGAACAAAAACAAAATCACAGTCTGCTTATCGGTTGAACTTTTTTTTTTAAAAAAAGGGAAAACAACAAAGGAAAACCCACTGAATGAATAAAACCGAACACTGTTTCCTGCTTTTTAGCCCCACCTGGACAAGCCAGGAGTCTTGTCTACTAATTAACTAGTTGCCTTAGCTGCTTTGCCACGCTGAACTTTGGGCAGCCACCATAAATCAATTCTGCTGCTTTCAGCAGAACATGAGGCTTACAATTAAGTTGGGCGTGGTGGCAGCACAATAAAACTGCAAGATAAAACTTTCTTTTAGAACAACACCCAGGTAACTTTAGTCCTACTTATAGGAATTAATAAAGGCAGAAGTACTTGCACTACACAGACACCAGAGTTTGGAAAAGGTTCTTTCTTACACTACAGCTCCCAGAATCCACAACCAACAGAGTTACATGTAGTCCAAAAAAGTAACTTTCCCTCTCTCTCTCTCTCTCTCTCTCACACACACACACACACACACACACACACACACACACACACAACACACACACACACACACACACACTTACAAGCACAATATAATCAGTCTCTGGAACTGAATGCCATAAATTTTGGTGAGATATTAACAACGACATGTAAATACCTGGAACGTCCGGAGGTCACGAGACCTAGACAACGAATAGACAGGAACTATATGGACAACAGGCTCTTTTCTGGCAAGTATCTACTCTTGTTTTCAAATACCACATACCCTGATTGCCAGATGTTAGGGATTAACAATGGGATGGCAATCACAATGGTGCCCTTCTTGTGAACCTTTTTCAGGCATCTGGCGGGTCAACTGTTAAAGAGAAAATGCTGACTTAGATGGACTGGCGGACTGGCCCAGCACAGTAATTCTTGTGTTTTTATTGGCCCATTGACACGTTGTTGGTAATCTCCCCAAAGCAGCAAGCTTGTGCTAGTAACATATTACACCAGTGTGATTCTCCATGGACTGTTTGTTTTTAAAAAATGACCTGCCGGCTACTATTATAAATGTGGACTTAACAGGAGTTTCCCTCTCATTTGGTCTTGGAGGGGAAGAGATCTAGGAGAAAAGAAGACAGAAGGAAAGCTGCACAGGCTTTTATGGTCCACAGTCATTTCCTGGGTTAATCCTACAAGTTTTTCTTCAAAGAGATTGAATTACTGTACAGTTTTAAAGCATGTACAGTTGATAGTACAAAATGCCTCTCAGAGGAAGTTACCTCTTGTGAGTTATCCCCTATCAGAGTTCATGATACTTTTACTCTCCTGTTCAAAGTTCCTCACATTT